CTTGTGATGTGATAGGGTCATTGGTACAAAATGCAACTAACTATGAGGTTTGACTTCTAATGAAAATCGCACCATTTTTTTCTCAACCCTAAGAAGCTTTGATCAACTAGTGGATTCGACTTCATTGAAGTTCGGGTTGGCGTCTTCATTGGATATAGCTATTTGTTCAACATCCAAGTTCTCAGTCATATGCTGATGTATCTGAAGAAAAAAATATGATAAAAGGACAGGGCGTTTCATAAATTCATACCCTCAATATCTCGACCCACCATTCTTCTGAAGCATCAATTGATTGTTTTATCGAATCCCAACCCAAGCCCGTGGATCCTCGCTTCATATCTTTCCAATTTTTTGTCATTTTTAATTGATCTCACTTATTTTTTAATTGCAATATATCATATTATCTTCTTGTGCTTTTCTTGATCTCTTTTATAAAATAGGTTGTTAACCTATTTCTCAATTTCACCTCATTAAAGAAGAGGTCGAAAAATATTAGTTTGACAACTTTATCCCACATATCAAACAAACTGATTTCTTTTGTTTTAATCAAAATGATACTAGCATGAAAAGAACTAATCAACATAAATAATTGCCATAAAATACATAAATTGACATTTAAGATACCACGACTCAAAAAGGTAAATTAAAAAAAACATCACCACAACTATCAACATATTATCACCACCACCAACATCAACACCACACCACACTATTACCACAACACCAACACACACCACCACCACCACCACCACCACCACCACCACCACACCACACAACCATCACAACATCACCACTACCAACATATCATCACCACCACCACATTACCAACACCAATACCAACACCACACCTCACCACTACCACAATACCAACACCAACACCACTACCACACCACATAACCACCACAACATCACAACCACCACCAACACCACAACATTAACACCACCACCACCACTTACAAATCTAGTAACACCACCCATCACAACCACACAATCAAACCCATAAAATCACCACCACAACCAAATTGAGCAGAACCAGGCAACCATCACGAAATCCTACCAAAATTTCAGGCAAACACCACAAAATCACAACGACAATTTCAGCTAACCACCACAATTCACCACCACAAAAAAATTTGAGCAAATCCACAATGCACATTGCAACATCACCACCACAAAAAATCACAAGCATTATTTCGGGCAACCACCGCAAAATCACAACCACCACCAACCGAATAGCACCGTCAACTGAATAGAGCACATAACACAAAAAAGAAAAGGGGGCGATTATATACAAGGTACCCAAAACATTTCTATCTAAAAATCATGCACTCTCTTTCATCCATTTTCAAAATTCTCACTCAAACATAAAAGGCCATGATAAAACCTCTCCCATATTTTTCATCTTTATCAAATTCAAAATGGTTTGATCGTGGCAACCGTAAATGCATCGGTTTTGGGTGCCACGTATGTAAGTTACCCAAAGTAATGCTATCTACAACAAATCAAGCACCCTTTTTCATCCGTTTTTCAAATTCTCACTCAAACATCAAAGGTAATGATAAAATCACATCCTATATTTTTCATTTTTATCAAACTCAAAATGTTTGATGGTGACAAGCGTAATAAATGCATCATTTTTGCATGCCCTGTATGTAATTTAATCCAAAAAAAATTGCAAAATCCAAATTCCCAATCATAGAATTTCAAACCTCAAATGAGAAAGTCACAAATCATAAAGTGAATAGCCACAAATTGAAGATTAATAGATGATATTGTGGGAGGACGGAGAGCACAGTAACAAAACAGAGCGGTGATCAGAGGGTAGAGAGAGAGAAGAAAAACAACAAGTTTCCACAAAAAATTGGAGGGAAGAGGGAGAGGAGAAAGGCAACCCGTTGCCACCGGAGAGAGGCGCAAGAGAGACAAGCGACCGAGAGAGGTGTTACCTTTAAGGCAGAAGAAACGCGAGAGAGGTGTTACCTTTAAGACAGAAGAAACGCGAGAGAGGGGAGCGGTCAAGGGATATCCAAGGGTAGCAAAGTAAAAAAATTGCGAAGAAACGTGAGTCACTGGTTTGACCCGAGGCACGTGTTTATCCTAAATTATTCCAAAGCGCCACCGCACTGCTGATTCTAAACGCTTAATACAACATTTTCAAAATGCACCACGCCAAAAAAGCTGCTCTAAATGGGCTCTAAATTTTGATAAATTGGACGTAAGTTATAACAAAAGAAGAAACATAGGTGGTGGTTTATTTTTTTTGGGTTTTTGTGTTAGATTCATAAATAGTCATGTTCTAGGGCCATCTATGCAATTTTACCCTTTTTCCTTCTAATGGTGTCATTCAGCCCTTACCATTTTTTCAAAAGCATCGCATAAAATACACTTTCAGTAGCTTGATACAGCAATTTGATTGAATGCATTGAAACATTGTACCTGTTGCATGGCTAAACAAGAACATGTTATAACTATCCAGGTGATAACTCAGATATCAAGGTTCCCCTCAATCTTGTTACTGTATTGATCTTCCACAGTTTCTTGTATGAATGACATCGGGAAGACGCCATATGGGAATTTTATGCCACCCTGTGAATACACAGTACTGATCTACACACAGATCAGATTTACTCCTATGCCATTCTTAATTAAATTACTTAAATGACTAAATCCATCTCATTTGTATCCATATTTATGACTATCTTTTAGCCCATCTGATGCAAACATGGAAGTTTTATTTAAAGGATCCACTTGTTTGGTTCAAAAAAGTATGCAGTGTAATTGAAATATAGCGTATGAAAATATCTAGAGTTATTTAGTTAAATGCAAAACAAATGCAATAGATTACTTTTTTTTATGTATTTTTTAAGATGAAATGAAATGATATAAAACACATAGATGGCAGCAATGTTGATGGTGGTTGCAGTGGCTAGTTGTCGGCAACTAGGCAATGGTGGGCTACAACTGAGCAGTTGACGGTGTTGGCGATAGCGGGCAAGGTGATCAGTGGGAGGTGCTCGAGCAACCGAGTCGTAAGCAGTGACATCCGGTGGGAAGCGGTAGCAGTCACGAACATGATGATAGAGGCGGCAAGTGAAGACTGCCACAAATTGTAGTATATTCAAAACGTGGCCAAATTTGAAGAATTCAAAATACACCAAGAACCAGAGAATGAATTTAGAATTTATTGAAATTTTACATTGCATTTCGTTTCACTAAAGCCAAACACACAATTTTCTAAAACCCCTGCATCTAGAATGCAATACACAAATTTTGTGGACAACCAAACGGTCCCTATGCAGGAATATAAATCATGTGTATAGATGTTATTTTATTTTTTAGATCAATATTTCATAATTCATTGTCAGTAAAGCATGTATATGATCAAAATAAAAAATATGAAAAAACATACTGAATTTTTGTTGTTGTTGGTATTAATAACAAGAAAAATTCAAATAATTAATCCTATGTGAATAATTGATTTTTGGATGATAATTCGTGCAAAAAAATTAGTTCTAACAATTTATAAATAAGAAAATATACTTATTATTGTTGGAAATTAGATTTTATCGATCATATTTCATTAATTGAATGAACAACTGAGTTGCAACCGAGTCATCATCTCTAATAACACCAGTAAGTGGTAAACTAAAGTAGGACTAAACTTTTTAAACATATGTTTCAAGTGTTGTGGCTTATAAATTGAGGATTGCACAATAGGATTTCTTGTAGTGCAAATTGCTACCCAGGTCTTGCCACAATGTAGGTCTTCTTATTGCCCAAGGTTTTGGCACGAGACTTGTTGTAATGCAAGAATTCATTGTAAGTCTTATGGGCAATGGCTACAAAGAAAGTCATGCTAATGGCACAAAGCTAAAATATAAGGCTTATGAAAGATGATTGCGACAGAGACCTTAAAAATGACATCCACCGTATAGATCGTGTAAAGAGTGGCTATAGTCCATGCCCTGCAAATCAAGCCGATCAAGGACATTATGTCCCTTGTCCAAAGGCTCCAAGCTAGGGGTGTAACTGAGCCAAGCCGGCTTGTGAGCCAATTCGGGCTTGGCTTGATAAGTGGCTCAGCTAAATGAGCTAACAAGTCAATCTCAAGCCAGCCCAACCCCGACTCGTCTAGTTAGCTTGTGAGATTGCTCTTTTAAAAAAAAATAATTAATATAAATATATTAAAAAAAATATTAACATTCAAATTTTACTCTCTATATTAATAAAAAAAATTAAAATGATATTTTATATTTTATATTAAGTAATTTCTTATTAATTTGTCATTTTACATAACACTAGGTTGAATTGATATTACTTTGGCTGATATCAAACTCCATTAATAAATCACGCTCAAGCTCAAGCTGACTAGTTTACACCCGTACTCCGACCATGTCTAACTCGGTTTTTTGAAAATAAAAATAATACATAGAACATATCAGCATAATTTTTAGAGTTAAACAAGTGTTGGGAATTTTTCAAGAGGTATGTTCATAAGAGGCACTTGCCAAACGTAGATAAATATGTTTTTTTTTTTTTTTTTGAAGTATCCGTGCTTCATAGTGCCCTATCACATTATCCATAATAAATCTTCACAGACCCGATAGATAACTAAGGCTAGCGCACTATCATTCTTAAAACTTCATCACTGGCAGTCCTCATACAAGTGGGAAACTCGGATATCTCAAAAGGAGACTGCCAATCACAATCAGGTTCTCTTCTATAGCTGTAAAAAAACATTCCCCCAATTATTCCCCACAAATTAGAAACAGTGAGCGGTTCCGTTTGAGAAAGCACTTTTTTTTTCCTGTAACGAACAGCATATAAAAAAGAGAAAATAAACACCCAGAAGGGGGAAAAATACTAGCTTTCTGCAATGCCTCGGAGATTCTAAGAATACACATCCATGCAAGCCCATACTAAGCTGATATTGAAAACGGAATATAGGAAGTAGCCAATCGAGAAAATTTAACTTCGAACAGTAACTTAAGCATTCATACCCGGCAAGAACATCAAAGTTCTTAGCTAAAACCTTGATCAAGGATCTGGATCCCATTCCTCCTCGGATATGTCTATCTCCTTCGAGGAAAAATTTTATCTGGACGCATCAAAACGAAGAGGGTAAAGGAAGGCAGGGAGCGATTCTTTTTATCGCAAAAAACCGAGTGGAGAGCGCGGCTAAGCGGCAACGCACCCAACCCATTTTTGTTTCTTTCTGGAGTCGGAACTCGGAAGAAAAGCCTTGAAAATTGAACTGTGCATGCGGTGGTGACTGCTGTCTCGACTCCCGACCTACCCGCTAAAAGGTTTGGGTTTTGATGGGAAAATCGGGTGTGTACCCATGTAGCGATTAGTTGCTCTCAGAAATTTTTTAATATTAGAGATTAATTTAACCTTTTATCTCTCTTTAAATAATATTTTTCTTTTCCTTTTTTTTTTTTTGCTCTGTAGATAAAAAACTAATTAAAAATAAAAATAAAAGATATTAAAAATCTAAAAATAAATAAAATTAAAAGATCTCAAATGACCCATTAATTGGCACATTAATAATGGATGAATATTTTAGATATATTTATATGTATATTATATAGGATGTACTATAAATTTAAAATGAAAACATGCATTATATTAAGTGATTTTCAAATATTATTTTAATTTACCTAAAATATATAACTTACTTCATATACAAAAAAAGAAATTATTCTTGATGTTGAATCTTGTTATGCCCATGAAATGACACCCAAGCAATATAGCATAAAATAAGAGAGAGATACATAGAGAGATGTACAATAAAAAAAAATAATCAGCCTTATCAATCAACTATTTTTTATAAAATGATCATTCTATTTATAGAAAAGGGGGCACAATATGTTGAGTTACATGTCTGCCCTTATTTTAATGAGAACGTTACATGATATTTTAGGTATTTTACATATATGGGCTTACGGCTAATATACCCTCTAACTTGGTCTGTTGAACTCAATAGGCATTGGTTTGACAAGTCCTGCTCATTTGAGTGTGTTGAATCGAGGTTGTGGTCAGCCTTTAATGGTTTTCGAGACAACAAGACAAACTTGATCGACTTGGCTTTACCAGTAGGTTGTTCACGTCTGACTATCAAATAGTGATTCATTGATGAGAAACTCCTATCGACAGAATGAAACTATGTTATCAGACAAAAAGTGAATTGTCGTAATTCGATAAATAATTCGTTCCTTCATTCGATATGTTCATGGACCGTATTATATCTAGCTCTTAGCCCTTAATGAGGAATCTCAGAGGTGTTCATGAAACTACTGGTGATATTGAACTCTTTCCATGAGCCAGGATGTTCATGGATCATATTATCGTTGTGTTACTGTCGATTCAGTTTTTCCTTTTATTGTCGTCCTTTTTTTCACTACAGCTGGTATCAGAGCTAAGATTCGGATCTGAGGAAAGAGATGGTGGGAGATGATGTGATGGCATTGTGGATCGAGAAGTTTAATGACACATATTTTGATTACTAGATGATGCGAATTGAGGAGTACCTCTATGAGAAGAAACTTCATCTTCTGTTATTGGGAAAGCGACCGGAAAGGATAAATTCCCTGCTAGGGAATCAGACTTGGGAGCTGACAGAACTTTCACCAGGGAAGAAGACATTGCATAACAAGTGTGTGTACTGGGTGAAGACTGCACTTGATGACAATAAGAGGTACAATGTTAGACTTGTTAAAAAGGTTTTTCAGCAGAGATAATATATTACCCATGCAGTGGGAGTTGTAAGTAGAAACATGAGTAACCCAGAAAAGAGCTTGGAGGTACTAAACTATGCGGACAATGATATGTCGACTAAGGCGTTACTCATGAGAAACTGAAGTTGTGTTCGATTTCTGTTAGTCTTCTAACATGAAGACAAGAAGTTTTGAGTTACAGAGGTGGAGAATGTCACGTTTGAAGAAAAGGATGACACAACTAGTGTATGTTGTAGCTAGTGTATCAGTCTAAGTGGGAGATTTGTTGTGAATATGGAAACTAATCCACTGTTTAAATTGGTGTTTTCTTATGTTTGGCAGCAAATTGGATTTGATACTCGAAATTAATTGCTTTTAATTCCTTTTATGATTTGATGCAGAAGAGAAAATGAAATAATTAATAGGCTTCATTAATTATTTGATTAATTCTTTAATGAGTTTAATGGCATGATGACATTAATAAATAACATACTAGTTCTTCTTGTTATCTCTCTTCAGCATTGATAGCTTTTCAAGTTCCTCTTATGGTGTGCTTCGGTTTGAAACTCTCGGGATTTGGTTTCCCAGGCTTCTTCTTCGATTGTTGCTCTCGAGAGGAGAGAGGAGAGAGGAGAGATGAGAGGAGAGAGAGAGAGATTGTTCTTTCTTGTAATTGTCAAGGCGATCGACAGATATAATCCGCAAGCTAATAAAATCCTCTGCAGCTCCGTGAAATTAGGTAATTTTTCAAATGACGTAAATCTGTGTGTTCCCGCTATTCGTTTTCTGTTTGTGAATTTTCTCGATCCGGCTTTTTACTTTATTGCCTTCATTTTTTCACAACAACCAGAACTCCTATCGACAGAACAAAACTAGACTATCAGACAAATAGTGAATTGTTGTAATTCGATAGATAACTCGTTCCTTCATTTGGGATGTTCATGGATCGTATTAGCCCTTAATGAGAAATCTCAAAGGTGTTCATGAAACTACATGTGATATTGAACTCTTTTCATGAGTCGGGTTGCGACGATCGACATATCAATGCCTTTCCTTAGCTAGATTAGCCATAGTCCTTTAGTGAGGTTTACGCTAGGTTGGCCTCCAACTCTTTAGTTTAGGCAGTTACATCTAGTCAAATGGGTCCTTCAGTGTCCCGCTAATGGGTCCTCCTCAGTTATATTTTTTTGTCTCTTGGATTATTAGAATTCTTCAAGATTTTTACTGGCATAATCCAAATGTACACTTAATTTACTGAAACTACACCAAACATGAACATTTTTCATAAATATTACAAAAATGCTACAGTTAAAATTATAATTATTATTACTTAATTAAATAATAATAATATTATTAAAATATTATTATTATTATTATTATTATAAATATCATTTATAAGCAATATAAAATAATAATAAAAGAAGCATTAATTTTAGAAATAAGAAGCTCTTAGTGAAAGAGCAACAATGCATCCATAGCAGCTTAATATGATATTAAAAACTGGCAAAAAGTGTGTACATTTGGTCGTAACCCAGAATCAAACACCCAATCCAAGAGAGAAGCAAGTTAAGATCAACTGACCAACCCATGTCGCATAGATTTTCTATATCCATCATCATTCATTTGTATACAGGAAAGTGTATGCGCTGCTGGTCAACTCGTTGAGGCTCTCCGAATTCGAACCCTCTTCGAGCGCCGCGGCGGGGCGCCTGATCTTGTCATGTTCACAATTTTAATGGACTGTCACTGCAAAAATGTTAGTTTGGAGGACGCAAGGCAGTTATTTGGTAGAATGAGAGAGATGGGTCTAGCTCCGAATGAATTTTCTTACACTGCAATGATGAAAAAAAGGTTTTAGGAAGGAGGGAATGCGGCTTTATGATGATATGAGATGCGCCGCAGTTGTTCCCAATCTCTTCACCTACAATTCTTTGATGGCAGAGTTTTGCGAAGATTGCAATCTGGAGCCTGCATTCAACCTGTTTGACGAAATGTGCCAAAATGGGTTTGCACCTAATGTTGTGTCAGCTACAATATTTTGATTGGCGGACTTTGCAGGTAGAGTAGGTTGAAAGATGCTGAAGATTTGTTGGGAAAGATGAGGAAGGAGGGAAAAAGGCATAGCAGCTTTACCTTCAAGCTTTATATAAAGTTTTTTTGCTAAGAGGTTAGGATGCCGGCTGCGAAGAAGCTTTTAGATAAAATGAAGGCGAACGGATCTTCTCCAACTGTCATCACTTACAATGCCCTCATTGTTGGATTGTCACGATCTGTTAATTTGGTTGGAGTTGCCTCTGCTTACAAGGAAATGGCGGAGGGGTTTAAATCCCACCCGAGCAACATACACTATCCTCATAGATGTCTTTGCCTGGAATGGAGACATGGAGATGGCCTTTGAGATTTATGGCCCAATGGAGCGCTTTGGTCTGCGGGGCGATGTTTATACATTTGGTTTACTCTTACGCAGCCTCTGTGTGAAGGGAGTATGTAGGATGCCATGAATTTGTTTCGGTCAATTGCTAACATGCAAGTGAAGCCAAGCAATGTGATCTATGATACTTTTATTTATGGATATTGTAGTCAAGGAAGCACCTTTAGAGCTCTTAAGTTGCTAAGGGAAATGACAGAGAATGGAATGGTTCCAAAAATCTCAAGCTACAGTCAAACCATCAGGCTTCTCAGCAAGGAGAGAAAGAGTATGGAAGCTGAGGTCCTGCTTGACGAGATGCAGGTTGCTGGCTTCCTGCCAAATGATTTGATTTATAGAGCACTATCGGATGCAAAGCTGAGGTGCTCTTTGAGATGATGGTGTAGAGAATTATGAAAGTTTAGCTCTCTGGAAAGTTGGGAAAGGGGGGCGAGCTTTTTACCTGAAAGGAGAAAGCCATTGAGTTGGCATAGGGGACGGAATCGGAGCTCGAGTACAAATTCTGGGCATACAGATGGATTGAGTCCTCATGGTTCCAATAAATATTTCTTCACTACATTTGTCTGATAAAATAATTCTGGCGTTTTCAGAATTTAGGATCTCTAGTCCTTCAGGATCTTAAAACTTACAAGTTTTAGCAACCTTTACAAGTTCAAAATCAAGATTTAGCAACCTAGGAGACATAGAATAATGCTTTTTCAATGAGTGAGAAAGATGGAAATCCTATAACCGCAACTAAAAGAGAAATAAGAATGAAACCTTTGGGTATGTTTTGCAAGTCGTTGTTTTTTTTTACTACTTATTTTTGCTTTTTCTTTTCCATTTTTAAAGATTTAAAGAAATATCAACATGCTTCCACTGCTTATTTTGTAGCGTTATATGTCTAAGAATAATCGTTTAATAATATATCCTATTGGCAATATTGTTCGGATCAGAATCACTATATTTGGAATATTGAGCCATAAAATACTCAAGTTTCCTTTACTTACTAAACTCACATCTAGTTCTTTTTTTATTAATATTTGCACATCCTAAGATTAGTTACTGAAATTTTGATAAACATGAAAAATTATGGCTCAACTTTTTATTATGAATTTCAATTTTTGGTAAAAATTATATATATATACTTCTGTTTTCTTGGCATCAGCTGTATTTTCCTTTTGAGGCCAGCTAGCAGCTAATAAACCGGGTGTTGAACTTTACTTATGTTGTGCTTATTTTGATTAGTTTATAATAAAAATAACTCAGTGAAACTGTCTTTAGGACGTTTGGCTTTTTTGAAATGCTAGCTTTCAGGAAAATAATATTAGGAGTGTATGATTTAAATATTTATGCTTTTATTTATTTCATTTGTCATGTACTCGCTGAACATAAAATTGAGATAAAACACTTCAATTAGGCGGCAATCATGCCGTCATTTTTTCTCCATATAACAAAAACAGAAGTTACGAAATGCCAAACTTTTAAGTAAATAGGAGTATAAGTGAATTGATTCTTTCGAATTACAATTAGAAGTCTTTAACCATGCCTGTCAATTTTGGCCACCACCCAGAGCAATTCCTTTTTGCGTTGGATTGAATATATGAAGGGGTTTTTTTTTTTTTTTTTTTCGCTGTGAAGATCATAATGGCAGCAATACATTGTGCCCATGTCATGTTCACAATTTAGTTGTTGTAGATAATTAAAATAATATCCCATTCACATTCACACAACGTAGCTCTATAACAGCATATAAAATACCAAACGAAGCCAAGCCTAAGCCTGCTGTTTCATTTTCTTTTCAACCTACTCCATGGATATCAAACCATGTAATCAAAATCCACATTATTTTAGCAAGATTTGTCATCAAGCAAACACATCCATAGCCTATGGGTTAGTCCAAATGAAAATTCACACAAACATATGGTTATCTTGGATTAAGTCTGGACGTATCAAATATTTAAGAGAAATACAAGAAAAAAGCTTATCCTGAGCTTTTCATACCCTATCATTTATATTTTTATAGAAAATGTAGAACATGGACTTACCAAGGCCTTTATTTACAGGCCTTTGGCTTTACTGAAAGAACTTTCGACCATAAGAGCTTGCTTAGCTGATTGCTCCGTCACTTAGCCACTCCTTTAAGGCAAACTTCAAGCTGTTCAACTTTTTTCTAGCATCCTGCCAGGATTACGCAAAAATTTTATCAGTGCCCTACAAAACCAATGTCTGCTTGGCTCACTTATCGGGTTAATTTTTGATAACATGTTATCATGTTCCAAGAAATGAAAAGATATCATGTAATGAACCTTTTGGACATCATATGATCTCTGGAAAAAATGTGGCTACTGCAGAGTAAATTTACCTTTCTGATTGCTGTGATACTTGTTTCAGCTGCATTTAACTGATCTTTCATTGTTTCTTCTAGCTGCAAAAGAAGCTTCCTATGCAATATTTCTGCACATGTATTACCAAAAAATCAATGCAAAAAATATGAAAACCTATTAGTAAAACCGTACATGCATCAAGAAACAAAAGATTCTGTCTTGTGAGTGGTGGAAAGGAAGCCAGATGATAAACTAGGTTCATTTTACCTTTCACGATATTCAAGGTTTAAGCTTTGCAATAGCATGTCGTCCTATAAATCTATGAAAGAATTTTATGGTGTTATAAATCAAACTTTGAATCTAACTACAAAACGTTTCTTGCAACGGCTCTTAACGCGTATCTGGATGAATTTAACCGTGAATAGACTTGTCTGATGTTGCACAGAAAACTGCATCCAAAACTTTTATCTAGTTTGCACTAACGAAGTATCTACAATGAAGAAACAATTTGGAAAAGGAGCCTGATTGCTATTTCCCAAGCTCACAAGCCAAATGCCCATCAATACTGCCTTCCTAAGTTTTATTCTTCCTGGCACCATTTTCATACATTGAGTAGATATTTACGTACTTTGCCGATCTGCTGTTGCTTTAATCTCAATGTTTTGTGCTTCTAGTTCCTTTAGGGTGCTGCTGCAGTTCAGAAGATGGTGATTGAATTCTTCTTTGTACTTCTCATGAATTAAGCTGAGCCTTCCTTGGTGCTCTGTAAGCAAAGCAGAAGACCTCAGATTTTTAAGCTTTAAGGACTGAATCAAAGGCACAAATCGACCACAAAAGAGAACATTAGTGTGCACAAATAGGAATCATCGATTCAAATGGAAAGATGTCAATTAATGGTAATAATCACGAACAAATTAGCTTGACTTGGTAGTTTATAGGAAAGAAAGTTTAACCCTAAACCCTAAACCAGGGAGGAAAATCCAAGAAACTACTGCAAGTAAGATACAGTACCATTGCCAGTAACAAATAATTCTATTACATAATTTAAATTTGCTACATAATTTAAGCTTTCTTGTAATGCATCATCAAACAAGAATTGCACACCATGTAAACATGCAGTCATTTTTTGGGATCAGCCTGTGTTGGAAATACTAACGCTGCATGCTCATTAATCTCATAAATCTACCTTTAGTACCTCTTTATGGTCTGTTATACTCAATCAAAAGAGACTAAGAATTAAACTTCTGTCGACTGATTTGTTTACCGATCACAAGGGCAAATAGTAAATTTTCATCAACCTTATTCTGCACAATACATAATTGTCATTGATCCCTATCATCTACAATACTCCATGGAAGACTATTTGGTAACTTAACTGGTCAGTAGTTTATGAAATGTTCCTTCACGGTAAACACCAATTTAATGTTAAAGATCACCTTACTAAAACAGGTGCCAAGTTCAGTTATATATAGCTCCCTAAAATTATCTTATTTCATGTCACCATTAGAAGTGACAAATTGGTTCATCTAGTTATTCCCGCCATCATGTTATGTTTGCCCATATTTTCTTGATGATGAGGACTTTATGTCAAACAATTTCCAACTACAAAATCCTTTAGTTATAAGGGGTTGCCATTCCTCTTAATTTAAGACAGTAACAGTTAAATGCCAACAGAAAGAAGGTACCTTCAAACTGAGATTCTAGGTGTTTCCTTTTGGATTTGCTAGCGCCATTGAATTTTCCCCTAAAATCAGCATTACATATCAGAAATATCAGCATCTATCAAGGCTTCAAAAAACACAAATTTGCAACATCTTTGCAGATTACAAAACTTACATGTCTTCGTGTATCTTAGAATCAACATGCTGAAGCTGCTGCTTAATTTTATCTGCCACAGCTGACAGTATCTCACAACATTTCTTGTTAGTGTGTAATTGTAGCTTAGAATCAATTCTTCTCAATCCCAAAGCCAACTGGCTCACTGCCCTTTACATGAAACAAAAAGGCAAGTATAATGCAATGAACAAGTTCGAGGTGCCAAGAAAGAGTGGTCTATGAAAGTTTTAAGACCTTGCTAAGCTATCCTCGAAACATTGCTCTGAAGCTTCATACAAATCATCGGTTTCATCTCCTGAGAGTTCAATGCAGAATAAAATAAATTCATGAAGGATAAGAGAATATATCCAAATAGGTGGATACGGTTACTAGTTATATAAAAGTTCAACTGGTGGTTGTGAAGTGGTTGCCTTCGTTTAATTTGGCATTTTTAGGACCATGAACCCTTCTTCTTTTATGAAGCTTGAGTGGAAATTCGTCGGAGTTGTCAACATTTGGAAACAATTTGCTCGTTTGTATAAATCCTGCCATAAAATTCACTATCTTAGTTGCATGGCTGATTCTTTAAATAACAAAAAAGAGCATAGGTCAATAGTGATCAATATCAACTTTAGCATCGTGAGTAACTGCATCCATTATGCTTTTATCAACAAAACTCGACAAGCAACAAGCCTTCAGAGAAGTCATGCCATCCTCACATAAACTACAGCATGACGTTTGTGAAGAATAGAAGGCACAAAATGGATAAAAATAATGTAAGATGAAAGTTCCAACTTGTTTTTACGCTAGACTATCAAAGGGTAATGTGATCTTTAAAATTTTTATATCGCGAGACATAATTTCTTGTCAGGTGCCAACCCAAGTATATGATTTCAGAGATAGTTGATAGCCGCTTTGCCATATATATCCACAATTTGGATTCAGTAAGTTTACAAAAGAAAAAAAAATCTTTTAGACCTAGAAAATTGGAAAACTTGTCAACTTTTAATGCACTATCAAAGTCCTTAACACAATTGTTTTTATGTTGACTACAGTTAAAATTTGTATAATTCATTAACAACAAAATTATATGAAAACTAAATAGTAATCCTGGCGATTGGAAATTGCCCTTCCTTTTTCATTCATGATATAATGGAATTTAGCAAGTGTCATGTGAGTCATAATATCAACATTAGATGTATACCATATGACAAAGACTATTAAGCCAGTGCCAAAGAAGTTAATCTAACCGCTAACCGCAAGCCTTGTATAGCATCACGATTTTCAATATCTTTATGTATATTAATCCTCATTTTCATTCATTTTTGTCCAATGCTTCTTGAGAAATTAAACATAATATTCACAAATTATTATGAACAATTTCATTTCATAGGTTTTAACTTTTCCTTCTTATTCCTGACACTAATTTTATTTACTTATCGAATAGGTACATTATATATATTTCATTATACATATCCAAATCACCCTAAATTATTTTATATTAAATAGATTTCGCTCAAACTATTCATTTAATACATGTATTCCCGAATTTATCCTTAATAATTTTGCCACAAATCTATCCTCACACTTCATATTATATAACTTTTTTATTATCTAACACTGGATCCATACAATATCGTTGAATAAATTATTTTTTTTATAAAATTTACATTTAAATCTCTATGATGTCGATTTATTATATCATATTCTTAAAAAATTCTCAATTTTAAGCATACAACTTACTCTAGAAGTTCTTTTCTCAAACATATTTTCATTCTTCAATATAATAAATCCAAAATAATTAAACCTATTATAACTATGTATTACTTCATCTTTAAAAAACAATATTTGATAATTATTAATATCATATCCACTAACATTATCTATTTGATATAGAGCCTTAATTCTATTAATTCTGTCATTTATCTTTTTAAATAATTTTTTTAGGAACGTTTCTAGAACTTTATCATTTGTAAAAAATATACATTAAGGAATCTCATTTCGATTAGCATTTAGGAACATTTCTAGAACTTTATCATTTGTAAAAAATATACATTAAGGGATCTCATTTTGAATGGCATTTAGGAACATTTCTAGAACTTAAGAAAAACATATGGACTCAATGTTGACTTTGATGTGGAGTTACTATAATTCAAAACTCTAAGGCCACTCCACAGCTACTTTGATTAGCACTAAGTGTTACATAATATGTATCTTTAATAATTTTAAATATACCATTTACAAACATTTTGGCCCTAATGTGCACTAAATCAATTCTTATGATACTATAGCATATATCTTCTCAAGATAAAAAAAAAAACATATGGAGATCATTTTTTACTCTATATACTTTATCATTAATTGTCTTAACACAATCATTTTCATACATCTCCCTAGTGTGAAACCAAATTTATTCTTAAAATTTATTGTAATTTGTCACAACTATGTAGCATTAGTTTCTCTGATAGTATATGTTCATAGATTGATTCCTTAGTTTACACAATCTTAACATGTCCTTTATTTGTGCATGTTGGTGCCAAAATGCCCCTCCAATCATTCTACATCTTTTTAATGTTCAAATTTTTTTTAAAAATATTTGATAACCAAATTATTTAATATCCCATTTAACTCTCCAAAATCTCATTATGTAATATAAATCTAAATCCTTATTTTTAAATATCTTTAGAGCTACATCTGCTTCACCTTTTTGAATCAAGCTACAACATCTAAATTATATTAGAAAGATGTGATTATTAAAAAAATTTCTTGGGGCAGTTGCATATAGACCACACAATTCTGATGTGTCTACATATCTAACACCTAAACATTGATTTTTACATCTACAATACTTAAATCATTCATACCACATTAAAATTATCTATTACTAACTTTAAAAGTGACATGTATCTTTTCAATCTTAGATAAATTGATTTAAAGGTAAAAATAAAAGTTTATGTCTTAGATAAGTAAATACATAAAAATCATGTGGTATGTATGTAAATCTTCCTGATTTCATTGTTAAAAATCTTAACTAATAATTTATCAAACTAGTAATCTCACCATTTTTTAATTTCTACATCTTTAACTATGATGTTAGTATCTTCACTTCTAAAGTATCTAATTTAACTAAAGTCTCCAGATCTCTTATATCTTGCCTGAACTATTTATCTCCATCCATAATACTAAACTCATTATTAATATCATTCAAAACTATAACTTTTGCATTGCTCGTTATACTGATTTCAGAATACTTATATCTTTTAATAATTATTATGAGACTTAATAGCTTTCATTGTTTGGCATCACTTAAATGTTTGTTGTAGAAAATAAAACAATGAACAAACTCTCAAAATTCTTCTATTTTCTTCGTATAAGAGGGGAGATATATAAAAATATCCCATAAGCATGACAAAATAGTAATAAAATCAAAATATGAGAGAAAAATAAATAAGAGTTTGTGATCCTTTAAGAAAGAACATGGATTACAATACGAGGGTCATAGAAAGACGAATCTAATAATACGGAGTTTGGATCTGTGTGCCATAAATTCTTTGCTATCTGAGAGTCATAAGTAAATAAATCCAACAACACAAAGTCCTAATTTGTGTGTCTTAAGTTATTTACTATGTTTGACACTCCCCCTCAAACTGTATGGTAGAGATTTACCGGTCCAAGTTTGCTTATGATATTTTTTAAATGTTGGGCTATAGAATCCTTTAGTGAATATATATGCTAGTTTATTTTCTTTGATATTATCATGTATCTATATAAGCTCTCTTAAAATTAATTCAAACTGTCATCTTGATTTCTTTCAGTAGGTCCATAACATATTTCTATTGGGAGAAAAAAATAACCACTGATTTTCTGCAGCATGGTGTTTTAAGACTGTAATGATTATGGAATCGATTTCTTCCTAAAGTAACAACTATATCAGAAGCAAATCTACAAAATGTGGGATCTTTCCCTTTTTCTTTAGAAATGTCTTCAGAATTTGGGACTATTTAAGATAATTTTATCTGTTCAAGCGAAAATATGCTTGAAATACTTGATGTTTTACTTTGGTCTAATTTTCATTGTTAATCAGGTCGATTCTTTTGAGGAGAAGTCAAAGAATCCGGACATATTGAATAGAAGAAGAATTCAACAAGAGAGATAAGGTTGGAAGTGAAAACCCTTACCTTAGAGAATAAGAACAAATGTTTGAAATAAAAATCCTAAGATTAGAGAATAAAAACAATATTTGGAAGTAGAAACCCTAGCCTTAGAAAATAAGAACAAAGGTTAGAAATGAAAACCCTAACCTTAGAGAATGAGACCAAAAGACTACAAGGAACATCCTAACCTTACTTTGATACCATGTTGAAAATAAAACAATGAAAGAACTCCCAAAAATCTTCTATTTTCTTTGTACAAGAGAAAATATATATATACATCTCTCATAGGCATTAAAAACTAGGAATAAAACCAAAATAAAAAAGAAAAAAAATTGTTGTTGGTGGTCCTTTAATAAAACATTCAGATTTAAATTTGAGGGTCATAGAGAGACAAATCTAACAGTATAGAGCATCGATCTGTGTGCTTTAAATTCTCTGTTATCTGAAAGTCACAAGTAAACAGATTCAACAAAACATAAGGCTCGATATGCATGCCTTAAATTTTTTGTTTTGACTGGAGCAAAAATTCAACATATATTATTTTTATTAATAATATTTTGTACCTTTGCATTTCCCCCTCAAGTCTTTTTACCAACATAGAGTCCATTTCTTGACTCTATAAAACATCTATAAAAACTTCATAATGGAATAAACTATCCCATTCCATATTAGGTTCGACTTACTTAGAATTTCAATTGTTTTCCTTTAGCAACTACCTAGCTTGAAAGGTTAACAATTGTTTAACTTTAAAATTTCACCACCTATCTTGGATATCAGGTGATTGCCATTGTTACATACATCATACAACTGATCCTATGTAATAGTCCTTTCTATTTTAACTTTTTGATATACTAAAGGATATGCAAAATATCATCCTAATAGTTTGGTTTTGAGTAAAACTCCCACATCAAAAGAGATATTTTAATAGTTGATAATAAAGTTGATAATTTATAAATCAATTTGTGATGGTGAGAGGTATAATCAGAAATTCCTCTTTGTTTACAACATTATAAGAGTAAATAAAAATGTCAACAAAATTGTAACCTAGAATACTAGTTTCCTAAAAAATATCAATAAAATATTTTCTTTGATAAGAAGAACTCTTTTTATGTAAATGAATTCTAAATTCTATTCCCAAAAGAATTTGGAATAACCCAATCTTTGGTAAAAAAATACTTATAGCACTAATGTGAATGTGACTTTGAACTTTCTGCTATATTTTTTACTTGGATTGAACAGATCTGACATTTTGGGAAACACTATGCTGCAAAGTAGTTTTTTAGTTTGATGGTTCAAGTTCCTCACAATTGTGTGAACCAAAACATCACTTTTCAATCTTCATAAAAGAGCCGAGCGGTGTCAAGAGGGAGCTAATGTAGCACACGATAAATTTGATAGGAGTTTTGAAGCTCTTAAATGACATCATCAAATCTCTAATATTTTGCTCAGATAGAAGGTTTATCTACTCATAAATGCGGATCACATTCATAATATCCCCATTGACAATTATCATTACAACAATCACCTTATTAGTAAGTTGGTTCATCCCAGTAATACTATATGAAACTCTATATTTGTTGCCATCGCAATCTCATTCTTTTGTTAAATTTTCCAACAAAGAATAACCTACAACTCTTTCAACATCCTAGTATTTTTCCTTTTAAATTTGATTTCATGTAAACTACTAGTATTTATTCTTCTTTTACTCATTATGTCCATCAATTCTAGTCTTTCCCAACTGGTAAAAGGCAATATGAGAAACAAGGATTTCATAGGCTGTGAAGCTGAGTGAATATTGTTTTGTTTCTATTTCCCTTGAACAGATTATGCCATATGGCTGCTTATACAATTTTTAAGAACATGAAAATTGTTGTTTCTGCAATGTTTGACGATTAAGTAATAGAATGCAAACAAGAGGCAGCTTGTTATATCATATGCCACAATAAATGTAAATAAACATGTATGATACTAATAAGAGTAGCTGGGCTCTCCAAAATACCATCTCATGATATTATGCTTTCTTTTTCTACATGAGAAAATCTTTCTAAAAAAACTAAAGGGAGAGACCATAAAAAAAATAATTAACGGATTATCCGGGTACTAAGCAAAATTGTGGTATATACAATTACAAGAAAAACAATGCAACCATAATGTCTCTAGTGGGCTGACCTTATCAATTAACATGCAAGCCACCAAATAGTAGCCAGTAAACCTATCTAGAAAAAAACTACTGCATAAAATTCGTATTTTGCAAGAGATGAATAAGCATGTAAGTGGTCTTCTTATTAACAGAGCTGACTCCTAGGTTATGGAAAAATCTTGTGGTGGATGACGATGAATTGAAACTCACAATGTAATTCAATTGAAAAACTCTTAACTTTTTTCTCAAATGATGACACTTCATGGCAACATGCAGTACTTTTGGGAAGTTTAAGATAAATCCCTAGGATTTTAAAGAGAAATTTTGAAAATCATGAAAATTACCTACTTAAAAATTCATATTCAAATATTTAAAATAAGCACAGTTAAATCAAATTGAAAATTAAAAAGATAACTTATGTGACACTAAAAGAAATATTACACAAAGCCCGCCAAGCCTAACAGATACTTGGTCATGATGGTGAGATTGTGAAATGAGATGCAAATTATGTCTTAATCCTTAGAACTTTGTACAAGCATAAAATTGTATCAACTGCATCAATCAATCACACCTTGTTTTTGGAATGGTATCATGTAATACAAGCAAAATCATGCTAGAATGGAGAAGAGCACAGAACCTTTGATCTTTAACTGGTCTGCTCCAAAGCTATCAGAATCATGCCTTGTTTTTGGTGATAATGATAACTGTTCTTTGGTTTCATTTCCATCAACAAATGTAGATTCCAGATCTCTTGATTCGTAAGCCTCCCTTGTGTCATCCTATGGAAGCCAATTAAGGCAGAACAAAAATGCAGAATACAATTTTCATGTGAAAGTGAAGTCGGTGCAAAGAAAAAAAGGATACAGATGATTCTGTGTTTGCTTTTGAACCGCCAGATATTGGATTGTCATTATGCACGATGTCAGAATTATGGAAGTTCCAAGTAAAATTTATTTTCCTACTTTGTAGTGGGCTACCAGCAATTTCATTGGGTGGTCTACTCGGCATAATCGGAGTCGTTTTGCCTGCTAATGTAGGACTCTGTAAATCATCTGATGCGTCGGCTGAACTTGTCACCCGCGAAGAGGTAGGTTTATCATGTTGAAATATGAACTTTGACATCGGAGAAGCTTCCACATGTTCCCATAATCTTTTTTCTTTTTCCGGTAGAGAGCTTTGATTATTTTCGTAAGTCACAGCTTCGGGCATTAATGGAACACTAGATAGGTTTTGTGCTTTCATCTGTGAGTTTTGGCCATCATTCAGAACGTTTTTTGGTTGCATGGATTGTTTCTTGCTTGGACAGGGAGTACAGGGAGAAACCTCAACTTCATTCATACTTGGCAACACCTTAGCAGATGAAAAAGAGTTTTCCATTTCATTTTTTTGCAGACTACTCTTTGAATTGGATAGAGTGGGAAGATGAATGGTCTTTTTCTCAATGGCAGCCTTTCTCTTCTCGTTAGGCCTTTCGAACTGAGCATTTGTACCTTTTACCGTTCTCTTATTCCCTACTACTACATCAAAGGAAAAAATGTCTTCTTTGTCATTACACTCAAAATTTGTTTGCACATTGGGATTATTATCAGAACTAGACCCGCTTATTTTCCTGAGCTCAATGTCCGCTTCACTCTTCGCATGTGCACTCAGGTTTTGCATTCTTTTCTCTTCTCTACTAAAGGAAAAGAAAACTTTCTCATTATGACTCCCTTTGAGGTTCTCCACGGCTTTATGTTTAAAATCTGAACAGGCGGATGACAATGGCTTTTTGCCATTGTTAAAAGCGCCATTCAATTTTTTCCCTGTTTTATTTGGAATATTTTTTCTTGTCATGGAACGAGTAGCACGTCTCCTTACAGTTTGATTAGGGCTGTCTGAATCAGTCTCAATTGGATCCGAACTCGGCTTGGGCCTGGCCGTTCCCCCCTTCTGCAATCCTTGGTTACAATCCACGCCAATGTTCTCGTTGCTCTCAAGTTTCATAGTATTCATACTATGCTCTTTTTGTGAAGAAGCACCGCCAAGGATCTCCCAGAGCTTCATTTTAAGGCCATCAGTAGTGTTCTTATAGGGTTCTACTGTTTGTTCTCCATTGATTTCTTGGTCTAATAAGTTTGTTTTCTTCATTGAGACGAATGCAGGCCCTTGATCTACATAGAGATCTCCACTTCGCTCCCTGTCATGCTCATAGGCAAACCTATCTGTTTTTCTGTGTGCAGAATCAACAGAAGGAAGCACTGGTGACTGCTTCACATAACATTTGCTTGCATCTGCGATTGATGTCCTGCAGCATGAGGACCTTAATGGTAAGCAATTCGAGTTCTTTTGTCCCTCAAGTTCCACTCTTTTTTTTTCCAAGTTTGCTTCACGACGCAGTCGGCTTTGATTACCTACAACCCTTCCTATGCATGATGAATGAATCTCTGCAGACTGCACAGGAGCATCTTCTTTTCCCACGCCAGATTGCACTGTTGGGGATTTCTCAACCGTGATTCCAATTGAAACCTTTGCAGATCGACCAGATTGAGGCTGGTTACTACCAAGGCTACGACAATCACTAGGACCGACCTACAAACATCACTTGCCATTTCAAATAAGAAATGTGGCTAAATTCTACACATCCCAAGATTTGATGTTATTAAAAATCTCAAACAAGGGATGGAAAGAGATTCAGTTATATAAAAAAAGAGAGAAAGACAAACAAAAAAAAACAAATCTGGAAATATGTAATAAAAAATGCCACCGGATGTTTAAAACGAATGTAGGAACCAGTTAGATGCTGCACCTTCTGTGAACTACTCTCCAACATGGTTAAGCAGGTCCCACTCAAACGGTAAGAACCTGGAAAAATGAACAAATAGTAAGAGGAGCGAGAAACAGAACGGAGTAATAATCAAAATTAGCTCACATAGCAAGAAGCATTTTATTCAGACGTAGTAAAAAAGAGGCCAACCTGAAAGAGGAGGTAGCAGCCAAAGTAAATTACCAAGACTCCTAGTTTCCTTTACACCCAGGCCAATAACAACACGCAGCATTTGTAGCTTAAGAAAACCAAATAAAAATGCCTGCTCAATCCCACTGAACTAAATATGTTTATTTTTTCCTACTTGGGGGTATAAACCCATTTAAGTAAATTTTGACGTACAGTCGGCCTCCAATTGCTTTAGAGTACAAGAATTGCACAAAATGTTTCTCTGGTTTCCAAGCTGCTCGCTTACAGCAGGACAATAAATTTATAACTACAGTTCCTTAAATGCTAGTCAGTTTTCTACACCTTCAACTGATATTTTTGATCCGTTTTGGTGTTAAAGCATGAAAAACTGACTTAGAAGTTAGATAATCTGGCGCAAAAAGCTAAATGAAATAGCTTAGCACTGACATAATGTTAAAACAGTAAAATACAGAAATATTTCCAGATTGAAAAATCAATTAAACTTTGATTGAATTTCTCTAAAGTTATCCATCTGGCTCAGCAGTGCACATTCGACTCAATGATAAGCTCAAGTTTGGCTCATCTTACAAGATCATCTACTTAATAAGCTAAACATATCGACAACTTGTGTTAGGATAATAATAAAAATTCAAACAATAATCAAACGAAGACGATAAGAAAAATAAAGTACACAGGTTTTCATGGTCCCTTGAAATGCGTCCATATTCGTGGCCATACAGATTAAATATTTTAGAGTTTAAAAAGTTGATTTATCAAGGATTTCTCCGCATACAAAGTTGGAGACAGTGACAGATTCCACTATAAAAAACAATGACTGATGGCAAATACAATCAGCTACTGCAAAGATGAGGAGTGGCTCTTTTGATGGTAGTCAGACCTGCAATGCTTTATGACGCACAATGTTGGTATATAAAAGAGAAACATAAAATTAAGTTAAAAGGTACTGAGATGAGAATGCTTAGGTGGATGAGTGGCTTGACTCTTAGAGACAAAATACAAAATGAATATATTTGTGAAAGGATTGGTGGTAGCAAGATTAGAGAGAATCGTCTTAGATAGCTTGGTCACATTAAACGGCGATCATTGGATGATCAGGTTAAGAGAGTAGATGTTTTAGATTCGACTTATATTAAGAAAGGTAGAACTAGACCTCAAAAGACTTGGGTACGTTGTTTAAAAAATGATCTTAATTTGTTAGAATTAAATAAAATTATGGCACGCAATAGGATGCAATGGAGAAAAGAATTCGTGTAGCCGACCCCACTGGTCATATGAAACCGTAAAAGACATTTGGATAAATACTATTGAAGTGAAATATTGGAGAACTTCTAGCAGGATTAAAACTTCAATATATTTAATTTGACTATATTTTATGAACCTGCAACCAATGTTGTGAAAATTTCTTTTCATTTTCTCCCGAATTCACATGTAGCACATTACCCAACAAATTTATTGCATTTATTCTGAAAGTTGTCTTGTATGCATGAATTTAATCCACTACAAATGGTGGGAATTATAGGTTACTTTTTTCCTTTTCTTCTTTTTTTTTCTTTCTTTTCTTTTTTTTTCCCCATCAGTTGATAAGCTAATTTATGATGATTTAAGTATCAATTTGTAGAAGTATAACAATTATACCCAAACATACTTTAAGAATATCAAATGTTCAATTTGTCGAAAGCAAAAGGTTTTCAAGTTGGGCAAAAGGACGCAAAATCTATGCAGCTCTAGCCCATGGGTTTATAGCAATTGTTAACTACAGATGCAGCACTTTTTGTATTTTTTTTTTCTTTTGTAGCCCTTGTTTTCTCCCAGATTGCAGTAATGAATAGCTTCCACCTGACTTCAATTCTATTGCAATCAAGGATCTTGAATACGGCTCCAAGGGGCTGTTTGGCTACAAGTATTATTTAACTTGAGAAGGATTTAATAAATCCTATAAATCCAAATTTAATAAATCTAGATGCAGTGAAAACTTTAAAATAATTTGGCATGAAAGATATTAAATCGAGCTAAATCTTTTGAACATGTTGACAATTTATTTCAGAATTTAAATATGTTAGTTCAAAAATAAATATAACATTACAAAATAATGATAAAAGTAGTAAGCTCAATTTAATTTCATTTTTTATTATTTCTATGTATGTTTTCATTACTTAACTATTTACTAAGCTAATTAGTTATAAGAATTTTATTAAACTAATTAACATTGTAAGTATTTCAATATTCAATCATTAATCCTTAATTAATTATTTATTAAGCTAATTAATTATTAATTACAATTTTACTAAACAATAAAGATTAATTATTACTTTTCTTACCATTGATTAATCATAAATTAGTCAATTATCAATTCTATATCATTTGTAATTAAATTTATTCAATTATAATTAGATTAAGATAATATATTAATTAATCATTAATTATTAACCAATTAAACTAATAAAAACAAACTTAAATTAAATTAAGAAGAATTTTAATTTAATGATAATCTCATTAATCATTATCTAGTAAAAATAAAATTAATTAAAATAAATAATTGTTAGTTAAGCATAATAAAATAAAAGTAACAACATAATTAACTAAATATTTATATATAAATTTTATTTATTAAGGCCCCATTTGGGACAGCTTAAATGTGCGGCGGCGTTTTTGAAAACGCCGCCGTAGCGGTTGTAAATCAAGTCT